TAGGCTACGGATGTGTGCGTGAACTCGAGGACCGCTTAAACTCTAGGATTTCAATTGCATGATTTCTAAGAATATGTACTACAATAATAGAGCTTTTTTAAAAATAGCTGTACATTATACCTACTTTTTTATTTTAGAAGTACACACCTGGGCTCGTGATGGCCGAAGTCTTAAAAATAAGATATATTATGAAGTTAAACAAGATAATGGGACCAAATGTGATCAGCGCGGCACAAGGAACCACGGAGAATTAAATCTCCTTTTGTTTGTCGGCTACCTAATCCAACATGATTCAGCTTTTTAAGCAAAATCTATGATTAAGTTGTCAAACCCCCAAGCATAAACAAGAGCATAAAAGTCAACAAGACCTTCTGCCGGTTTCGGATTGTCGATAGTAATCTCAATGTAAGTGATGTGTTTTAGCTTTAAGATTAACAAATAGTAGGCCAGGGGGCTATTTGGTTCAAATCCTAGAATTTTAGGATTTATAATTTCATGAGAATTTCAAAATTATAGTGTTTTTATACATGTTTTGGGATTTTTAATATTTAGTTTGATTCAACGCTATTATAGGAAAGCAAATTCTAAAATTTGTAATCTCTTGTTTGGTTCAAATCCAAAATTATAGGATGACAAATTTTAGAATTTGTAATTTATTATCTGTTTCAATTTAAAAAAGAATAAACGGTGAATATGCTTACACTGGTGAGCTTACCTCCGCACAAGAGAATAAAATAGAGAGCTTTGCTTCCATGCGCCGAAAATGGGTTTTTATTTATTTTTTAATTAAAAGGGTAAAATAGGTATTTTATGTTTATCATATTCAATTCTCCCTTCTTCACGAATTTTTCCTCTCTTCGTTTTTAATTCCTCCATCCGTAGTTAGTACTAATCGACGCGTATTAAATAATTAGTTTCTTCAATTTGCCCAATATTAGACTAAATCTCATCTAAAAACCATTCCCTCGCATCTCAAAACCACTATTGCTCCTCTTCAATCCTTTCGTCTTCCTTCTTCTTCAAACTCGAAATTGA